TAGCATCTCCAGTGTGATTATCCCCCATTCTGTGCTTTTCTTTTTCTAAGTATTTTTCCACTTCCTCCATCTCAGAACGGGGTCCTTCCATATCCACCATATTTATTTCTACATCCCCCTCTTTAGTTTCGTCATCGCCCCATCCTGTGGGCTTTATATCTTCGATCTGGACCTTCGAACTTTCTGGGGCAGAATATTTGACCAGATAGTCGAACTTTCCACTGGGCTCCCCCAGAGTGTCCCATATTTCCTTTTGAAGGGGAACTGGCTGCGTAATTTGGACTTTCTCCAATTCCAGCCTCAAGCCCTCAGTGACTTGTGTCAATCCTTCGTTTTGATTCCCTTGGCCTTCAGTAGCCTGGGTTTCTCCTGCAACAGCCACAGGTGCAACAATCGAAGTGTCTGGCGTTTTCTGGATGTCTTCAGTGACTTCCTCGCTGACTTCGACCATCACCCAGTTTTCGACTCCAGTGTCCTTCTCTCCTGTTAGGGCGTCGCTTCGATCAGTTTCCACCATGTTGACCTCTCCAATGCATGCAGGCTCGGAGTAGTTGGTGTCTGCGACGTCCAAAGGATCTTCGTCCACTTTCATCTTCACCTTATCAGCAAACTTTAGTCTGCCATCTTTGATCGCGTTTTGAATCAAGTCCCTGAAAAGAAAACATTGTGAGGTCTTGTGGCCTAGGAAACTATGATATTTGCAAAATCCCCTTTTCTTCCTCTGATCCAAGGGAGGTATTTTGACATTTGATGGCACAATTAGTTGGCCATCCTTGACAAGCAAGTCAAAAATTTCGTCACACTTAGTGACGTCGAAGGTATAAACCTTCTTTGGAAACTTGTCACTTTTCTCATTTTCAACAATATCTTTCCCTTTCGTGGGAACTAACATTTTGCAGGAGTAAGGTGGGGCCTGTTTTAATTCAGCGAGGTCGATTTCGACCTCTTCGAATTCGAATTCAGGATATTCTTCTACTTCCTCAGTCCTAACATATGAAATCCTTTCTTTCTTACTGTTCTTAAAGACTCTGGCTTTTTCGGCTTTTAGTCTTTCGACCTGGCGAACCCTATCGGCTAATTGAGCCATATCCCTCAAATACTGAGTATCTAATTTCTTTCGAATAGAATCATCCAAACCCCCAGCGGCCATTTCGACTAACTCATGTTCAGGCACTACTGTGTAACATCTGGATTTTAACAGCCTAAATCTATTCAAATAATCATCTATGGGTTCAGTGAACTTTCTCTTAACACTGGCCAATTCCTTCAAACTTATTTTCGTTTGTCCCATGTAAAATTGTTCATGGAATAATCTCTCTAAAAGGGCCCAAGTGTCAATAGATCCAGGAGGCAACGTGGTAAACCAAGTGAAGGCGTTTTTTGTCAAGGAACTTGGGAAGTATTTGATCCTGAGATCTTCATTATTGGCTATGTCTCCCGCTTCGGTTAAATATCTCGCTATGTGTTCGACTGTTGACTCGTTGGTATCCCCAGCGAACTTTGTAAATTTAGGGACTTTGTATCCCCTTGGTAAATCAATATGCATTATACAATCCAATATAGGAGAAGCGTAATTTGGCCTCCTCATTCCCGTATTGAGGCCATTCTGGGCCATGATCCTCTCTATCATGCTGGTTAGGTTATTTTCTGCCAAGATGTTATCGTTTCGAATCCTATGAACGACGGCATCGGCATCTTGATTTCGACCAACCAAAACAACTCCCCTAGGCTGTTCTTCTCGAAATTCTGGGGCTTCTGGCCTTTCGATCCTTGCCCCTGGTTCCATAACTTCCCTTTGTGGGCCTTGAATTACTGGGGCTTCTAACCTTGGTGCTCTGGCGCCTAAGTTAGCTTCTTCTCTGGGTAGTCTCTGAATTGGGTCGTTAGCAATTCGTTCTATAACAGGCATGTTTGTTCGAAATCCCGCCTGGTTCTGCCTACGCCTTTCTGTGAGAGCAAAGAAATCTGCTATTCGACTCATATTGTCAGCGTTTTCCCTGTTCGTCACAGTCACATTCTGAACTATTGGGGCAAATATTTCCTGCATGGTTTGCGCTAACACCCCTATCATATTGTGGTTGCTGTCATCCATCAATTGCCTAAAAGCCAACTGGTTATCTGTGGTTAGGATAGGCAACGTGCTATAACCCACTGACCCTTGGTTATTTGTCATAAATTGGTTCGCCCCAGACCCAGATCCTAGTTGTGGGGATGAATTCGAAGTGGAATTGTGTAAACCTGCCATAAAAGATGTTGGCATTCCGTAAGAAGAACTTCTAATTCTATTCCCATCGAAGCCGGGTGGTCTAGTTAATGGTGTAGCTAAATGGGATTGTGTTCCTGGTGGTGGAACGAATCCCCCAGGGTAGCCCATAGTTCCAGTATTTCCTAGGATCGAACTGTTAGTTGATATGCCACTTACTCCAGTGGTGGCTATGTTACTGGTTGAAGATGCAACAGACTGTGCATTCGAAGGGATTACATTAGATGTTCCGCTCGAAATGGACGCGTTAGTGCCTGTTGCATGTGGGTCACCTTGGTTTCCTTGTTGATTGTCTGAATTAGACATTTTATCCAAACGTTTTCTTCTGGATAAAGGTTGGTTGCTGTTGGTTATCTTACCACTTCTTAGGTTCATAAAACAGCAAATTTCTTATGGTTCCTACGTTTTTGGGATGGCTATGTCTCGACAATCCTTAATTCTGATATCCAACTATTGTTTCCAGTGATTTCTGGTAAACAACCGCTAGTCTTCCAAACTATCGAATAATCTTTATTAACGCTATTCAATCTCTCTGGTAACTCACAGGATCGACTAGATTGATCCTAGGACTCCTTGGATATTAAAGTTACTCTCACAATCGAACAATTATTCATGGTTGCTATTGTACAAGTGTTTGGTTTATTTCGATCCCTCTCTCTAAGAGTTTAAAAATGTGGTCAAAATGTATATGAAAACTAGGTTATACGAATAAATGCTAATTGTAATGCTGATTGAAGAGACATATAAAACTGTATGAAAAATGAAGTAAATGGTTTCGATTTGCAAAACATTTAACATAAAAGATTTCTGGAATGTAGAAGTTTAAAATGTGAAGAAAGCGTTTAATGCAATTTTAAGTAAAAGGATGCGTTTGAAAAACAATACTTGGAAGTAAAGGTATTGAAAGCGTAACAGTTCTCTGAAATATAAAGTGCTCGAAATATAAAGAAAGCAATAAAACGTAAAACTTTGAGGAAAAGACTTTGAAATGAAAAAGACAGTAAATAAAGAAACTTGTAAATGTTATTCGATAAAAGAAAAGAGGAAAGTACTGGAAATGGTAAAAAGGCTTTCATTAAATTAGAAATACATGGTGCTATCATACATACATCTCTCTTGCATTCGTTTCCCTTGCCATGTGGTAGTTTGAATGTTATTGAGTATTTTGTATAACAGATATGACACACTGAAATCCTAATACTAAGACTTCTATTTATACTAATTCGACCCTAACGGTCTCGCTATAGGATCATGCCACGTTTCGAACATGCAAGACAATGCTTCTTTCATCTTTCCACGTGTCCCCAAATGCTCCAACACAAAACTTTCAAACTTTGAAAGTCCCGCTTCCATTTAAATTTTAAATGCTTTAGTGTTCTTCCGTTTCGAACGCTCTTCTCAATCCTAGCCTCGCTGTTGTTTCGAGACCCTTTGGATATTTTCCCATGATCACCGTTCGAAGCTTCAAGCTTTGACACACTCATTCGAAACACTGCTTCTGCAACTTCGAAATATGGTGTTTAATTCCATTTCGATCAGAACTTTTAACTCTTTTGAATTCTAGATAACATTATCAAAATCTTCAGCCAACAGTACCAACGCAAGCAGAACAAAGAAACCTGAAATACTACGTGCAAGCTAGCATCAAAAACAAAGGAACAATCCGAAAATATCCAATGAGGATCCAATGTCGCGGTGCAAAAATAAATCGCAAGCAGAGAAATCACATCAAACAAAAATTCCTGCACAAGGCAAGTCTATACAACGAGATTATATTCAAATAAATCACATCGAGCGATAAAGCGCCTTCCACCTTGCACAAATCACCAAAAGAGCTAACAAATTACAAGGAAACGTAAGAACCACTCAAATATCAAATTACAACTCGAAAATGATATCGAATCACAAGCAAAAAAATGTTCATGATTATTTGCAAAATTTAAACTCCAGAAGGCTAAAAAAATAAAAAAATAATAGGAGATATCTTAATTAATTTCTAAAAAAACAACTCTTGAAAATTCTACTAAGTTTTTTTAGTGTTTTTTTTATTACATCAATATTTTGTTAACAAAATTCAATAAAATGAAATTCTTAAAAAAATCTAAAATCAAATCGCTCATAGCGAGGTGTAAGTCAGACTCAGGGTGTTTGATTCAGTCAGCATGAGTTTGGCGCTAGGCCCATCATATAAGCCCGTAAGAAGATTTTTTAAAGATAAAAACGGGCCTAGTGATCCAACAATCTATCTTATATCCATTGAGAAATTTGTTGTGTCTTCTTTATGATTATTTATTGAATTTAAATAATAAAATGGAATAATAGAAAGAGAGGAACAATGTCGTTTAGATAGTTAGGATATGCTTAAAGGACTGAGACTCTTCGTCTCCCACGAGTCATTCAAGAGTCATTCTTCTACCTCACGGAAACCAGGCACGACGGCGATCTCCGTCACAAACCAAACCCTCCACCTTTGATATTATCCCAATTTCGTCTCCATCCGATATCACTCCTCTTCTTCGTTCTTCTCTCATGGTGCGACTCTTCTTCACCAACACATCGGCGGCCATTCTCACCCGCATCATACCTCCGCTTAACTCTCCATACCTCTCCGCTCCAACCATTGTAGACTTCATCCTCTACACCGCATCAGGCTTCACGTTCGTAGTTACAGAAAGATGATGAATGTTTGAAGCTATTAAGTTTCAGTTCTGGTTCAGAAGCGTTCGAGCCATCTCCGATGCAAAATCGACGCCAAAAAAAGATATCGAGGCTTACCTATCGGAGATCGTCCGATGCGACTTCGACGACGGCGAACAGCGATAGAAACCCAGCGATCTTTAGGTAATACTTCGCGATTCCTTTACTTTCTTGCTGAAATCTTCTTCTGCGCTTGTTCTTCCAATTCTATGAACTTTACTTTTCTGAGTATCATCGCCATTGAACAATAACGATACATTATATGTGATTCATGATGTTGCGGTTATTCTTGATGCAGAAACCGTGATGGTGATGTTGCGAAGTAGTTGAAAAACGCAGAGTGAATGAATGCAGATGATGAAGCTTGAGATGCTGGTTAAGGATTCCGTCGGAGAATTGATGACAATGGGAGATTTTCGAAGATGAAGATTGAAAGCGATTCTGGCGATCGATCAAGGTTCTTGGAGAATTATGCGGCCGGTTGAATAAGAAAGAGATTTCTGGTTTTCTTGGTGAGTTTTCTTCTGAGAATTCAAGAATGGATTTCTGGTCAGTTTGTTATAACTGGTTTCTCTGAAATAGTCAATTCTCTTTTTAGTCCCTTTTGCGAATCTTTCTCTTTTTTTCCATAAACTATCGATCTCTGTTTCTGTTATAAGCTCAAAGTTGGTTAGGTTTCTGTTAGAGATTGATGGTTATGAAATTAGTTTCAGTTAGTTGGGTTTTGTTTGTCCTATGTAGTTAGGGTGCACTTTGAAGGTGGTCAGAATTTGTTAGGAAATTGATGAGCTGTCATTGGCGGTTATGAATTCTGTTAACTTGGTTTGTTAGTGATAACTGAATTGGAGGGCTAATAAAATGACAAAGGTTAGTGAATTGGTTTTTTGGGTTAGCTATTCTGGAGTGAATTGACTTAAAAGCTGAATCGGTTCCACTGGTTTTATTGAATGAGCTGACACACTTCCTTAATTTTTGTATGTTTGACTTGTAAGTTTAAGAAATAAAGTCCCTTTATCATTCCCCTTCATTTTTCACATTTTAAGTTTTGAATGGGACTCCCTCTTGAATGAAGCCTAGTGTGTAAGTCAAATACCCAAAGTGATGTACTAAGTGATTTATTTGGAAATGTGGTACTGATTACTTTCTTGAACTATTGATTTTTCGAATGAATCTTGACATTTTTGGATTGATGATTTGACGAATCTTGAATTCGTACTTTAGATTCTCCCTGAATAATACTTCAGTGAATGAATCTTCCTTGAAACCATATGAATGAATCTTCCAACCCTATCTTGAATCCACCATTAATAAATCACGAACTTAATAAGACCTTGAATCCACCATTAACAAATCACGAACTTAATAAGACCTTGAATCAATATTAATTTCGAGCATGATTAGAAGTTTCAACGAATCTAAATCAATTATGATTTCTCTCAAAATTTCAAGTTAATTTGTAATTGGAGTAACAAGTATTTGATGAGAATCAAAAATTGTATCATTCAAAACAGGTCTACAGTGTTGAAGGTGATAGACTCAAGATGACCATAAGATCAAACCCTGGTTGAAGCATAATAAATTAAAAATCCCGATCTTATGAGAAGTACACTGAATGAAGAAACAAATTAACATCAAAGCCATAACTCGCAGTCTTCTCAGTTAGAATCATTGATGAAGGAATACATTGAATAACCTTGAATGGGAGGGATATCCTTGAAGCCACAGAAACCCTAATTTCACGCATTCACAGATTGAACAAGAATCAGGAGAATCAGGAACATCAAGCTTTATTTGACATGTACACCTCAAAAGAATAGGAAAACCTTGACATCGCACGCCCACTGAACTTTTGAACCACAGTGCTTTATTGAATGCAATGTTATGTAAAATGTCCTAATGGAATATATGCAGATTAATGCAAAAGTCTAAGTCTAGCATCATGAGAATTGAAAAAATCGTGCCTGTAATGGGTTACATGATTTTGGTAACTGGTTACAACGTTTGTCAAATCAGTTCCAGTAGCCTGAGAATCCATAAAATCGTGCACGTAACTAGTTACACGATTTTGATAACCGGTTACACCACCTGTAACACCAGTTCCAGACAGCTCGACACGCTTCAGTTGTCAACCATGACATCCCGACTGATCACGATCTTCTTGTTTGCAACATCAAAAAACACATAATCTTTAGTAGGATGATAACAAACAAGTAACATCACCTCACCTTTGTCATCCAACTTCTTTCTAAGTTGACCCGAAACATGTCGATACGTTATCGAACCAAAAACTCTTAAGTTGCTCAGATTCAGTTTAAATCCAGACCATACCTCTTTTGGAGTTACATTCTCAAGCTTCTTTGTAAGACACCTATTCAACAAATAGGCAGCTGCGGAAACGACTTCCCCTCATTGATTTTTCAGCAAGTTTTTCTCTTTTAACATGCTTCTAACCATGTTCATAATCGATCGATTTTTACTTTCGACAACACTGTTTTGTTGCAATGTAATGGTGTTTTTCTACGAAATAATCGCTAGCCTCTTATTAAAGGTTACTTGCGGGACAGATACAATAATCCCGAACTTAATGTGTTGATGATTGTTTTTGGGTCGAAAAAATGATATAAAGAGGCAAAAGATAAAGACAAATGCGAAGTAAAATCAAAGATTGTAAAATTGCTGAGAATTTAAATATGAAAGCATTCATACATTGTTAAGCTTGAAACTCGTTTCTCTCTTAGATGAGGGTACTTTGAGTGTATTGCTATTAAATGCAAAGGAATGCAACCACTAACACAAATACATGAATTTGCTTAAATACACATCCTAAATAAGTAATTATCGACGGTTACTAGCCCATTTTTGGGCTTCGTGGGGACTGTTTGAACACTCCCACGTTCTTGCTGGTTTTGCCTGTTGATAACCGTTCCTGCCAATGTGCGTTCCTCTTCTAGCTTCTTCAACCTTTGTCTTTGTCGAGAGTTGTATATGCTTTACCTGCTTTGTTATCGACTATCCCATTTGGTCGACATCCTCTCAAGGCTTGATGTATTTTGTCGTTTTCCACCATTCTATGCCTTTTAACAAGACAAATTCTCATAGTTTTAGGTTCACTCCTTTAGTCGAAAATTACTTGTCAATAAATTTCCCCCCAAAATGCCATGTTCGACGGAGGCTTGTTGATGGGAGAATACTGGCATTTTTTCTTCCCAATTTTCGACGGCACACCTTTCTTGAGATGACGTGATGCGCAATCATGACTACTTTCTGCGCAGCAGTTTCCCATGTCACCTCCATCATTTTTCATGATTACTCCTAGGTTTTAGGGTGTGGGTTTTTGAACAAACCCCACTAACTCTTTGCCTGCTCGCGCTATTCAAGCGCCATTTGTTATGATCTTAACGGTTCTGATCCCTCCTTAAATAGCCTTTTAAGAACTCAACATCTCTTTCTTCTGCTTTAGTTTCCATCTTCCAGTTTTGAAAAATTCCTAGCAAAATTTCTTCTGATTTTTTGCAATGGTCGCTCCAATTGATATTCCTTTTACTGGTGATAACCCCATGGCTTACACCATCTCTGCTAAACAAAGCTTAAACTTTATTCCAAATCCTCCTATTAAGGTGAAATCAAAAGTCCAGACATGGCAACACCAAATGCTGATCCCCTTTGTTGTTGTAGGGAAACTTTTCGCATTCCATGGTCCTTACCCTGGTCCAAAAACGAACCCTAAAACGACCAGTCAATACTTTCCCTGCTTTCTTCCTGCTATCCCTTCTGCCTTTAATCACACAAAACTCAATGATGTCAGGTTTTTGGTAAAGCAATCCTAGACTTTGAAGCTATCTATTTTTTATGAATATTTTACTCAAGTACAACATAAATAAGTATAGGGATTTTTTTTGTTGGCTACTCAGAAATAAGTACCGGGATTATTTTTTGTTCGGCTACTCATGGTTCCAATTCTTTTTAGGATAATTTATGATCCCACTCCAGTTGTAGTTTCTCCCCTTTTTTCTAATAGTATTCTTTCATGATATTTTTAATTTATTTTAATAAGGTTTTTGTATAAATTAATTTGTTTAATCAAATGCAAATGTGTTTGAATGTAAAATGATGTTAGTGCTAGTGTGCCACCAAATTTGGCCCTGAAATGGTGTATGTGGAGTATCTAAATACTAGTGTTCTTCAAGTTTAATCAAATGAAAATAAAGCAGAATTAGTTTTTATTGGTAATAGTTATTTTTTTGGGTCTAACCGTAGATCTGGAAGATCATCCATGAATGTCTGTGTGGTGTTGGCTAAAAGGAACGGTTTTAAAGTTCAAACATAGAGGCACCGTGTTTTAGTTGAAAATTTCACCAATCAAATTAGCCTGTTATTGCTTAAACCATTTGCTGGAACCACACCAGGGGAAGTTTATTGACGCTATCTTATATATCTCCTCAGGACAGCTTTGGGGGAAGCACATAATGGAGAAAACGCCTTTGCTGATTCATTAGAAGCATTTGGAGGAGGCTACGACGACCCTGTTAGTGTATCAGTTGGAGGTTGTTCAAATTTATTAATATATTGTTTTACTTCCTCTTCTTCGTACGCGTTAAGGATTTCATGTGGCAGTTCTTTTGTGTTTACAGAAGAACTATATTTTCGTTTGGTGATAAAATTGTTAATTACTTAGTTTAGCATGTAAAAACACTGAGTTCATTTATCAACATTGTCCTATTTTAGGAGTCTACAGCTTAAATTATTTTTCCTTGTAAAATGTTTTTACTTCACTGAACTTTGCCTTAATTAGTGAAGGACTTGTATCTCTTTTTTTTAGCAAAGGGCAAAATGAAAATATTAAACAACCGCTCCAATGTATTTTTATCTAGTTCTTGATCACGCTTTCTTTTGATGATTACATAATGCTATAGTTGCTTTTTATACCATTTGACTTACTTGGGGACATCTTTGTCACAATTCAAGCTATGCATAAGCTGTCTTTGTTATTTGATGATAAGTGGGATATTTGACATCCACCAAAGATATCTTATTTATGGTTGGCATTATCCTAAGATATCTTCCTCATGCTTTATTGACAACTTGTCTTAGTTTTTTTTTGTTTGAGAAATTACTTGACATATTTCTTTTAAAGGTAGAGCATGTATTGATTGACCGGTTGTCAGAGTTTCTAAATGTTGATTTGCAAAATGCAAAGGTATTTACTTTTTTTCCCACCCTCAAGTTGATGTTTCTACTGTAAAGGTTTTATGTACATCATCTGTTTAGTGAAATTTCTTAGACTTTCTCTCTTCTGATTCCATCCATTTTTGCTTATATCAGGAATCTCGTCGTCGTTTTGACAAATCTGTGCAATCGTATGATCAGGTTTTAAGAAATTATAAGCTCTATACTCAAACTGTGAAGTGAGTTTTTAACATTATTCTATTTGCAAATACAATCAGTAATTTTGGTAAATCAAACTGCATTCATAAGTGAACGTTATATTTTCTTGATTAGACATTCTTCTTACAAATCAGTTCTTGTGTTGAACATAGGCTAGTTGGTATCTTTTGTTTGACATCTATTTTTGGGTATTCATCCTGTTTATTTGACTCTTTTTTCTTTCGTTAAGCCATTATTTACTGTTTCAAATACCTCAAAAGAGTTACTAGTGTGTTTTTTAATCTTTTGATGTGATGGTTAAATTGTGTTGTTGGTGCATAAGAATTTTATCTTATATCGTAATTGGCTGTTGTTGGTGCATAAGAATTTTATCTTATATCGTAATTGGCTGTTGTTGGTGCATAAGAATTTTATCTTATATCGTAATTGGCTGTTGTTTATGCGTTATTCTTGCAATTTATATTTATCACTTCATTTTATTTGTCTCAACTGAACTGGCAGTTGTTTATGAAAAATTATATTTGATTAGAGTTTAGTTATTCCTACAGCAGTAGCAATCCTTGATATTTTGAGATAAAATAAATTTTAGAAAATACACCTAACTGCTATTTTAGCAATCAAAGTACTCTTGTAACCATCGTGATAAGGCTTGCATAGGTTCAAAATGGCCTAGGTGCTAATTTAAATTCTTTAGTTTTGTCTATCATGCATTTCTTTTTTTTTTTTTGAATAGTCTATTATGCATTTCTACTTTGTACATGTATGGCACTTTTGAAAGCAGGAATTTGCTTGCATTCTTGACTTCAACTTATAAATCTTCCATTTATCTGATTTTTTATTTCTTTTTTGATTACATTGAACCCAGATACCCAATTGCTTACAGTAGTATTGGTTTCTAACAGTTTGTGTATCTCTTTTCTACAGTCACGAGAAAAGTTTGTTTCTTTGAAGAAGAATACTCCTGAAGATATTGTTGCTGAATTAGAAGAGGTTTGCCGTATCAATTAGTAAATGATCAGCCGCTTCTCCCTTATCTTATGATGTGCCATGATTACAGATTGCAGTGAAAAGTTTGTCAGTTCAAGAGTTATGCATGTGCACTTATTTTACCTGTTAGAGTTTATATTTGAGACCTAGTTTAGAAAGTGGGCCTGTTTATTTTAGCTTTAAAGAAATAGATTTTTGTTTTTGTATTTTCAAAAAACATTTTTTAAAATATTATAAGTTTTTTAAATTTGTTTTTTGTAAATTGAAAGACTAATTTTAACATCATGTAACATACATATACATTATTGAAGATTAAAACATAGTCAAAATCACAATTTAAAAAAAAAGATGTATCTCAAAAATGATTTTTATGAAAAGCTATTTGATATAGCTTCAAATTTAAGTGATTTTTGTTTATATTTTGATTTCCAAAAAATGTTATAGCAAAATGATGAAATAACTAAAATAATATTTTAAGAATAACTATTTAAACCAATTTTTCATTTGAAGTTTTTTTAAAAAAATCTTTGTAATTTTAAAAAAAATAAAAATATGTAACACTATAAAAATCATTTTTAGAAAAAGCTGAAACAAACGGGCCCTGTATTTCATCACTTTCCTGCTTAAATATAATTTGTTACTCTTATGGTAATGAATATTGAAGTGATTTGTGTTCTTTGTCTTGCTGACTCCTTAGTTTTGTATTTAGTGGTAAAAGGTTGAAAAAGTTTCACCATTTTTATACTCTTCATCATTCGTCCTTTAGAATTAAAAAACCTCAATCTACGATAGTTCATTATTCTTTCTTTAATAAGTAACTTGAAAAGAGACAACCTAAAAATGATATTGCTGAGATATATCTTGTGAAACCTTGGCACAGTGATTGGTGCTGCTTCTATGTGACAAATAGTTCACAAGTTTGAGTTATGGAGTTAGCTTCTTACAAATACAGGCTAAGGCTATGTATAATAGATTTACAGTGGGTTAGATCCTTTCGGGTCCTTGCCATCACAGGAGCTTTATAGCACTAGGTTTCCCTTTTCACATATCTTGTGAATTCAGCAATACTGCTTGGTTCACGTAACCAATTCACCTAGTGGAATAAGGCTCGGTTCTTCTTGTTATTGTTGGTTTTGATTCATAGAGGACTCTACACATTTGCTGACATTTATAATCCACTGCATTCTCTCTTTATTTGTCATATTCTTTAACAACTATCGGTAAGTCCAATATTTAATCAATTGAGTAATGCTATTTAGTACGAATGAATTTAAGTAAGAAACACAAGAATGTACATGTGTCATTGATTTAGTGGATAATTTTAATTTATTATAAATTGAATTTCCTTTTTAATAGGGATCATGGGGGTGGTTGTGATAAGGAATGGTTGAGATTTATTCTTGTCTTTCTTGTTTTCACTTTTTCTTACAAATAAGCATTTTCCTTAATCAATTATATGATACTTTGATCAATGACAGGGTCTACAAAATTCAAAGTCATCATTTGAGAAAAGCCGCTTCAATCTAGTATGTCTTTTACAGTTATTAATGTTTTGTTCAGACATTTCAACAACCCTATTTATTTTATGACTTTGGCTACTGGATTTTAAGGAGTGCAGGTACACTCTCTCATGAATATTGAAGTGAAAAAGAAGTACGAGTTCTTGGAGTCGATAAGTGCAATAATGGACGCTCATTTGAGATACTTTAAACTGGTCCGTAAATTGGTTGCTTATTCTTCATGTTTGAATTTTCATGGTTTATTATTATTTTGCACTTAACATGTCATCTTATACTTTAGGGTTATGACTTACTGAGCCAAATGGAGCCTTATATTCACCAGGTAACTAGTGTTTTTGTTCATTTCTTACAAGGGAAGATATTTTATGATTATCAGCACATTGGATCATGTTAAGATATGGTATAAAACTATTCATGCCTCTAAACCTAATAACCTAAGCTTTATGGTTCTGGCATATAATTAGAATTAGAAATGAAGTTTCTATTATTCAGTGCTTGTGATGGAAGCCATACAAATAACAGAAGAAATAGCAAAAGTGATAAAACAGTAACATAATTAGGCCAAATATATTATTTGTATTAATAGAAATGAATGAGATCAGCAGCATGTACTACTAGAGAATGTAATGGAATATCATGGAGCCTAAGCTCCTAACCAAAGAATGATCTCCTTCTAATAGATTTCAGCAAAATGTCAGAATGGAATCCCCCTCATTCTGTGCCTATCCTACTGATGTACTCCCCTAATTGATTGGATAGATTAGGCACCATTTCTAAGTTTGTGAACTCAATATCATTCTCTACGAGTTATTTAACCCACATTATTGGTTATAGTGAGCAAGAGAGCACATGAAAAATAATCCTCTCCTATATGTTATATTTGTTTGTGAACAGAAATTTTTTTCAGGACTATGCCCCAAACTCCACTAGTTGTGGAAAGTTTTACCGTAAAACCCTATCCTAGTGCTCTTGATACCATATTGAAGAGAATGGTAAATGTTGTTATATTTTATTCCTTAGACTCAGACTCCGTTTATATAGTGGGAATTCCATAAATTACCATTAATTCTCTTTTTAATGAAGAATAAAGGAAATTAATGGAGAATAAATAGAAACAAAAAAATAGGGAAATAAAATGTTTTCCAACACTTGTATCCTATATTTCTGGTATATGATCCAAACAAAAGAAATTTTGAAGGCTAGTGATTGTCTCTAATGTCTCATTTAATGTTTACTCGCAATGTTACTTGCGGGTAGCAAAAAGTGTTGATTTAAATCCTTGCCCAAACAAAATTTATTATATACTATTTGATTAAAGAAGTTAGTAGATGTACTAAATAAAGGGAGCATCATTACGGGGGCCGAGTGTTTTGTTTGTGTTCGAATTTCTTGTATCATGTATGTAATTTGAATTTCTTGCAGCTTGAGAAGATATCTCCTGCGAGTTGTTATCTTATACTTTTACTATGAAGGCATTATTCTGCTCTTGTTTTGTTTATTCTATGATGTTTGTTCTTCGAACTGGCTTGGAGCACATAATAAATAATATGTCGTAATTGTACATTGTGACTGTTGAATATATACGCTTTGAGTAAGTTTTGTTTTATAAGGATCAAGTTTGAAGTAATCTCATAAATATTTGATGCTGGTGGCTTTGAAAACTCCAAACTAGACCGCGTCGTGCAAATTCACTATCTATTTTATATTTGGTGGCTGTCCTTAACTTAGGTGCTAACGTATGCTCAACAATCTAAAGAAGTGGCTAATATTGAGCAAGATAAGCTTGCAAAACGGATCCAGGAATACAGGACACAGACAGAAGTTGAAAATAAACCCATGCCAGGTGCTGATGGCACCCATCCTGTAGGTTTGAATTCTTACAAAAGCTTTGAAGCAGGGATGCAGTCTGCAACCAAAGGCGAGGCAAGTAATTCACATTTTCTGGTTAATAAATGATAATTCTCCAGTTCACGATAGGTACATTGCTTTTTATCTTTATTTTGATGTTATACTTAGTCTTGCAGTGTAATTTTTTTCTCCCTGTTTTTAGATTCAAACAGTTAAGCAAGGCTATCTGTTAAAACGATCATCAAGGATGCGAGGAGATTGGAAAAGAAGGTTTTTTGTACTTGATAACCATGGGAGTTTATATTATTACAGATCAAAAGGACCCAAACCCGCGGTAGGAATACTTTTTTCATATCTGAAGCAACTCAAGCAATCTACTAATGTTTTTCTTTGAAATATGTTTACAGGGATTTCAGTCATATAATTATAGTCGTTCTTCTGAACAAAATAGTGGCATGTTTGGTAGATTCCGTTCAAGGCATAGTAGGGCAGCGTCACTAAATGAGGATATTTTGGGTTCTTGTACAGTTGATCTGTGCACATCCACTATAAAGATGGACGCAGAGGATACTGATCTACGACTTTGCTTCCGTATCATTTCTCCCTCAAAAACATATACACTGCAGGTGACCGAGGGAATTATTTCATATTTTCGAATGAGTCATATAATCAGCCTCTGTAATGTTTAAAATTATCTTGGTGAGAACCAAAAAAATGTTCTTTGTACCGACCTCTCATTTGTTTATTTATTTAAACGTAAATATTAAAAAATTGACATTCTGTTTGTTAAAGTTGTCAAGGTTCCTTGTTAGATCTTCTATCAATTCATGTATCCTAGTCTATTTTTCTTTTGGATTGATTTCTTTGTTAGTTTACTTTTAAAGTGATTTCACCAGGCTGAAAATGAAGCTGATAGAATGGACTGGGTAAACAAAATTACTGGAGCTATCACCTCGCTTTTTAATTTTCAGTTTCTTCAACAGGTTATCCACTCAACTTTTTTGAAACGTAAATTCTTACCAATATGTCCATAATATGATGTGATGTAAACATTTTTCCATTTCTAATTGCTGCAGCCTCATTATGGTAAATTGCAATTACAAAATAAAAACTCAGCAACTGGTTCTTCCTTGACAAGTCAACAAGAGGATAGTAATAAATCTTTGATGGATGATGTATATTCCAAAGAAGTGGGTAGTGTCTCTAAAATTTTAAGGGGAATTCCTGGGAATGACAAGTGTGCTGAGTGCAGTACTCCTGAACCAGACTGGGCATCTTTAAACCTTGGTATACTGCTGTGTATTGAATGCTCCGGAGTGCATCGCAATCTTGGTGTTCATATCTCAAAGGTGCATTCTTCCAGACAAATGCAAACCATTTATTTTGCTTCTGCGTTTATCATGTATAACAAATTTATTTAACTGGATTGAAGATTTTCATGTTTAACATTGAAGCATTCATGGGTTGAGATCTTAAACTTCTAGTTCCTGGTTCATTGTTCTAGGATATTTATATAAAGTGCTTATAAATTTTCCAACTCTTTTTTGGGTAAAAAGCTTTCACTTTTAGAATCTTATTAGTTTCAACCTAGGTTGTTAATCTCAGCGGCGCATAGTGCCGGACTCCCAAAATGCTATAGCGGCATAGCGGGATGACCGCTATTGTGAGCTTTAAAAACCAAGGTAAATACTTAAAATGAATTCATAAATACTTAAAATAAATTCCAACAACATACATAATGCTTTAAAAATAGAAGTTGCAACAAAATACATAAATTCCAACAACACCACAATATAAGTTCTCATCATAATCAAATTATAAATGTGCTCAAAATGACTAAACCAAATTCTAAACATAAACAATGACTAAATCACATCCGCCTCATTTTCCCTTCTAAGTTCCACCACATTAATATCATCTTGCTCTTCAAACTCTTCTTCTTCCACCTCCAACTCCGCATCTCCATTAGACACCTATGTAGCAAATCTAGAGTTATGTTTAGTAGCTCTTACTGTGTTAACCGCTTGCTGAGTTTTAGCTGTTGCTAATTTTTAGGTTGAGAAGAAAGTGGAAGAAGCAGATTTGCGAAGAGTGAGAGAGAGAGAGAGAGCGGTAACTTAGCTGATTTTTAGGTTGAGAAGAAAATTGAAGAAGCAAATTTGCAATGAGAGAACGGTAACTTAGGCTCCACCGTTTGTTAAATTTGAGTGAAGAGAGAAATGATAATGACCTAAAGCATCAATATCATATTTTATAATAAAAGGAAAAAATACCAATTTTTCCTTAAAAAAATTAAAAATTGCAATATTGCCCACATCTTCACAATAGCGGTCTGTAAAGTGCTACAGAACTGCTATTGCGCCGCCATAGCACCGCCACGACTTCCCAAATAGCGGCCGCTATTTCCGCTATCGCAGATAGCGGTTAGCAGGCCAAAAGCGTAGCGCCGAGGTCCTGCACTGCTACGCTATATCGCTGTTATAGCGCGCCATTGACAACCTAGGTTTCAACTTTTGAGAAATAATCTACACTTTTGTTTGTCTTTATAGTTGAACTGAATCTTTCATAAATAAGGTGATTTCTGACTTGAAATTTATGAGTCCTGATTGTTAACCGTTTCCTTACGGTCATTAAATTTTATCTACCAACTGCAGGTGAGATCTATAACGTTAGATGTGAAGGTTTGGGAACCTACCATTTTGGAGTTATTCAATAATTTAGGTAATACTTTTTGTAATTCTATTTGGGAGGGCTTGCTTCTGCTTGGTGATGAAAGGTATACTTTTGATTCTCGTTGAATTATTCAGTAGCTGAGCTTGTAAACCTTTATTTTCTGGGAATAATTATCTGCAGAGTAGGTGAATCAAATGTGCCTTTGAAACCATGTTCCACAGATCCCTCCCAATATAAAGAAAAGTACATCCAAGCAAAGGTAAGCACTTTCAGTTAAATTTCACTTTTCTATTGGTAGGTTTCATGGTTTACTGTAATAGGGGCAGCTTGATTATTGGTATTTTAGATATGTCACAGTAAGACATCAGACACGAGTGAAATAATGTAATTATGATGATTTTTTAGTTTGTCTGTTAAATAAGTATTCTTTTTCCCATTATATAATAAGTATTCTATTTTTGAATGAAAATTTTAATGCAATAGGTATGCTTGTCTTGAAGTGTTCCTTTCGTTTTTATTCATTCGTTCATTATCACTCTTTAAATGTTTTACTTGCATATTGATGACAAATTTCCTAGTCTTATGCTTAAGTAAAGATTGGAGTGAGGATGACGATAATCTAAAAACGCAAAATCTCTGGTCGGTACGCTTTTGAGTAAGACTCTGCTGACGATGTACAGGTTAGACCCTTTTAAAGTTTCTTTTTCTATACTAGTTTCAATTGCAATTTTTGATTAATCATGGCGATTGAATTTTTGTGATATTGGTAAATAAAAGTAATTTTTTTTCGAGGAGTTTCAAAAAGTTACAAAGGGAATTAAGAGCTTAATCCTCGTCAAGAAAATTCAAGGAGATTTTGGTAGAGTTTTCTTATTGCTTGCGTGGTTTCGAAGAGGCAACGGACCTTCTCCGTTCGGTATCATCACAATCTCACTTTTATTCCTTATTTCCGCGCTTTATTGCTTTCTAGATACCATGAGAAGTAGGAAATAAAGAGCGTGCGCTCGAAGTCGCTGTTTAAAGACCTGTAGCAGGCATTCTGCACTTCATTTGCTATATGTGTTGTGTTTGTGTTCGTTTACTTTCTTGTTGATCGATGAGTCACTCAATTTAGAAATTGAGATCACGACTTCGCTCTCAGTGCATGTTCCCTATAGAATTTTATCGCTTTTCTTTATTTCCTGTTGATCGATGAGTCACTCAATTTAGAAATTGAGATCAGGACTTCGCTCTCATTGTATGTTCCCTATAGAATAGTTTTGTTAGACTTTCTTTGGCATGCTAACTAAGATAGGATCTCTCTAGGTGTGCTCTCTTGAATTTATTGCCTTGTTTGCCTTATCCTTGTACATATCATGTTCTCTTAGGACGTGCTTGCTCCCTTCGGACGCAAGTTAGACCTTAGTTTGTAAGCCATGCATGCTAACATTAGGTAGACGTTTCCCTTTTGTTAATCCAAACCTTAAGACTACCATTGTATGATACCATTAAGTTTAGAAATAAGTTAGTCTCCCTTAGACCCTTTTCTTCCCCTTTTTGCATCCTTCAATCTAAAACTAAAATCTTTTCTTAGCAAATCAAAAACATGTTAATCTTACTTAAACTCTTTTTCAAAGTAACAAAACACAAACCAATTCAAACCACTTTTTGCGCTCGAGCACCTTTTCTCTAAAATCCTTTTCAGGTAAGGACATGATTAATTTACTTCTGTGCCAACGCATAAATCTCTAAAGGTCGAGTTGCGGCAGATGGCAGAATTATCATTGTCCATAAAAAACACAAACAAACAAAAATATATAAGCCGAACTACGGTAGCTCTGATTCCTCAAAAAGGATACGTAGGCATTGAGTTAGGGTCCAAGCGAGTACAATTTTATTTTCTCTACATTCTTTTCTCCTTTCTTTTGCATGCATTCTCCCTTTAGTAGTATAGTAAACAATAAGCATAGATTAAACACACCCATAAGATAGACAACAAGAGTGGATACCGTAGAGTACTACGGGCGTGTGGGGTGTTAATACTTTCCCCTCGCGTAATAGACTCGCTTACCCGATCTCTCGGTCGCAAGACCGTGACTTCTCCCTTCTCAGGTTTTCTCGATGTTTACCTTTCCCTCCATATGGGATAAAAGACGTTCGATGGCGACTTCATTGTTTGATGATTTTCATCCGGTTGTTTCAGCTGGCGAATTCACTGGGGACAGGTCGACCAAATGCTGGTCCATCCCAGAGTCGCTCCTAGCTCTTGCTTTCTTTTCTTTGGGTGTTTATTTTTTATGCTTTCAGTTTATTCACTCATTTTGTATATACTTGAGCATACGTATGCATTGCATTTTTTATCACAGGTACAAATGCTGATTATGTTTAGTTGGTGACTATGTTCAGATGGTTACTCGTATTCAGATGGTGACTATGCTCAGACAGTGACTATTGGTTCTAATGGTTACGTTCTGGATTTCTGTCAGTGACTTATGCAGATGGTGTTCTGTTGGTGATCATATGGTTCTCAGATTTATTTTCTGAGTTCTTGATTTGTATATTTGGAGGTTCATTCGAGCCTTCGATCTTGGTATTCCCAGCATGTTCAGAAAGTGCTCAACAATATTTGGTGTTCCAGAAGCCTTGATTCCGTACTATTGAGATCTACATGGTACTTGGTTCTTATATGTGCAGAAGTTATGCCAGACCTTTGATCTGATAATATTCATATGATTCAAAAGCAGTGCAACAATCATATCCAGAAATGACGGAACCTTGATCTCATTTGATCCCATGCCTTTGCATACATAACATGGTTAACCACATGCTTAACATACATGTTCTATTATTTCCAAGGAATCATATTTGCAAGCCTTGTGCTAAACTCTTCCATCCCTTACTTGCGTATAATCAAAATCAAAGCACGTAAATTCCTTGGAAATGACAGAACATGACATGACATTCATTCATGCACTCCATGCATATTCATGCATCCATGACAGGTACTCAAAGATTGGGGATTATTATTCAGGCCTGGTATTCTCTTCAAAGGTTCAACTTGATTTCTCACCGCACATGTTCAGGGATCAGTTATGGAATATCTCTGAGTTATATACATGCAAGCTCTGAGTTATATAGATGGAATCAATCTAGAGACCATTGTGTTCATATCAGATCAGAAGGGGAATTCTCTCGCCCACTCAAGCATCAAGACTACAGAAAGTCGTCAGAATCAAGAAATCCATACGGAGTCAAGTCTCCTCAAAGATGGCAGCCATTGGTTCTCTTTAGTGCATTTTCATTTGTATTCTTACTTGTTTGTTTAAACATTGATTGCATGTAGAAACTTGTCTATTTTTGAATGAAAATTTTAATGCAATAGGTATGCTTGTCTTGAAGTGTTCCTTTCGTTTTTATTCATTCGTTCATTATCACTCTTTAAATGTTTTACTTGCATATTGATGACAAATTTCCTAGTCTTATTTATGCTTAGGTAAAGATTGGAGGGAGGATGACGATAATCTAAAAACGCAAAATCTCTGGTCGGTACGCTTTTGAGTAAGACTCTGCTGACGATGTACAGGTTAGACCCTTTTAAAGTTTCTTTTTCTATACTAGTTTCAATTGCAATTTTTGATTAATCATGGCGATTGAATTTTTGTGATATTGGTAAATAAAAGTAATTTTTTTTCGAGGAGTTTCAAAAAGTTACAAAGGGAATTAAGAGCTTAATCCTCGTCAAGAAAATTCAAGGAGATTTTGGTAGAGTTTTCTTATTGCTTGCGTGGTTTCGAAGAGGCAACGGACCTTCTCCGTTCGGTATCATCACAATCTCACTTTTATTCCTTATTTCCGCGCTTTATTGCTTTCTAGATACCATGAGAAGTAGGAAAGAAAGAGCGTGCGCTCGAAGTCGCTGTTTAAAGACCTGTAGCAGGCATTCTGCACTTCATTTGCTATACGTGTTGTGTTTGTGTTTGTTTACTTTCTTGTTGATCGATGAGTCACTCAATTTAGAAATTGAGATCACGACTTCGCTCTCAGTGCATGCTCCCTATAGGATTTTATCGCTTTTCTTTATTTCCTGTTGATCGATGAGTCACTCAATTTAGAAATTGAGATCACGACTTCGCTCTCATTGCATGTTCCCTATAGGATAGTTTTGTTAGACTTTCTTTGGCATGCTAACTAAGATAGGATCTCTCTAGGTGTGCTCTCTTGAATTTATTGTCTTGTTTGCCTTATCCTTGTACATATCATGTTCTCTTAGGACGTGCTTGCTCCCTTCGGACGCAAGTTAGACCTTAGTTTGTAAGCCATGCATGCTAACATTAGGTAGACGTTTTCCTTTTGTTAATCCAAACCTTAAGACTACCATTGTATGATACCATTAAGTTTAGAAATAAGTTAGTCTCCCTTAGACCCTTTTCTTCCCCTTTTTGCATCATTGCATCTAAAACTAAAATCTTTTCTTAGCAAATCAAAAACATGTTAATCTAACTTAAACCCTTTTTCAAAGTAACAAAACATAAATCAATTCAAACCACTTTGTGCGCTCGAGCACCTTTTCTCTAAAATCCTTTTCAGGTAAGGACATGATTAATTTACTTCTGTGCCAACGCATAAATCTCCAAAGGTCGAGTTGCGGCAGATGGCAGAATTAACATTGTCCATAAAAAACACAAACAAACAAAAATATATAAGCCGAACTACGGTAGCTCTGATTCCTCAAAAAGGATACGTAGGCATTGAGTTAGGGCTCAAGCGAGTACAATTTTATTTTCTCTACATTCTTTTCTCCTTTCTTTTGCATGCATTCTCCCTTTAGTAGTATAGTAAACAATAAGCATAGATTAAACACACCCATAAGATAGACAACAAGAGTGAATACCGTAGAGTACTACGGGCGTGTGGGGTGCTAATACTTTCCCCTCGCGTAACAGACTCCCTTACCCGATCTCTCGGTCGCAAGACCGTGACTTCTCCCTTCTCAGATTTTCTCGATGTTTATCTTTCCCTCCATATGGGATAAAAGACGTTCGATGGCGACTTCATTGTTTGATGATTTTCAGCCGGTTGTTTCAGCTGGCGAATTCACTGGGGACAGGTCGACCAAATGCTGGTCCATCCCAGAGTCGCTCCTAGCTCTTGCTTTCTTTTCTTTGGGTGTTTATTTTTTATGCTTTCAGTTTATTCACTCATTTTGTATATACTTGAGCATACGTATGCATTGCATTTTTTATCACAGGTACAAATGGTGATTATGTTTAGTTGGTGACTATGTTCAGATGGTTACTCGTATTCAGATGGTGACTATGCTCAGACAGTGACTATTGGTTCTAATGGTTACGTTCTGGATTTCTGTCAGTGACTTATGCAGATGGTGTTCTGTTGGTGATCATATGGTTCTCAGATTTATTTTCTGAGTTCTTGATTTGTATATTTGGAGGTTCATTCGAGCCTTCGATCTTGGTATTCCCAGCATGTTCAGAAAGTGCTCAACAATATTTGGTGTTCCAGAAGCCTTGATTCCGTACTATTGAGATCTACATGGTACTTGGTTCTTATATGTGCAGAAGTTATGCCAGACCTTTGATCTGATAATATTCAT